ATCGTTGTGGGGTGTATTATTCTAGCTTTTGATGCCTTGTTGGTCATCAATTAGAGTTCGGATATTTTTTTTCGTCAAGTTTATTCCCACCAATACAGAAAGAAAATTCTAGTGATTATGATCCATTTGGAGTTAAATGATACTGTTCATTAAGTTGTCAAATTCGGCACGCAATCAGACTTGTAGTAATTGATTTTGTCCCTTTATTTTTGATGTTTTCTAACCGTGAAAAAATCTTCATAAATCAAATCTTTGACATTAATTTAAGAGAGATATATTAAATATTTCGATACATTAAGTTATCTGATACGTTCTTGTTAAAAGAATGAATAATGAGGAACGATTTAACTATTTATGTTATTGAACCTCACACTGTTAGGCTTGTTCTAGTCATGATGATTAAGGCATTAATTAATATAATATATATGTTTGTTTCCTTAATCAACTTATGAGGGTCTGGATGTGGGGTCCTTCATTTCTGTATTCTTTATTTCTTATGCCATTTTCTATATTCTTTATACTTTTTGCCCATTATTCTTTATTCTTTATATTTTAGCACCTCATTAATCTCAATTCTTTATTTTTTTTGTCCACTTTCCTCCCATTCACACCCTCACTTATTGTGGATGATGTTTCGTAATGTCCCGTTTTACATATTTCAACACATGTTTTCTTGTTTTTTTGTTTCTTGTTTGGTTTTACCAATTTGATCACTCCTCCCCCTTTTCAGTGTCTAATAATACCAACAAACCTTTGTTATACTAAGCTCTTTGCTAACTGCCTTGCTTTACTTATAGAGATATATTAAACCTGACCCAATTCGAGGATTGATCCTTATTTACGGAAGTTACATGCTTCAGTTAATCGTCCACATAATTTTGATACATTGCTTCATGTTATCCCCTTTCTAAAACAATCCCTTGTTGTATTAATTAACATACAGTCTTAAATCCTGCTACGCCGCCAGCGTTCACGAAATAGATGCTTAGCTAAATACAAAGGTTGATATGGATTATTCGTTGTCCTATATTTGCCAAAGAGTTGTTGTATAAGGTTACTACGATACTATATGTTGGCACTATCGTCTTGTGGTTTGTCCAACATAAATAATCTTTAATTGCAAATAGTTATACTGAAGGTCAAAAAGCCAACGTGGTTAATATTGACATCGATTCCATTATTACTTTTGTTTTGATGTGTAGTGTCTTAGCGAATGCCATCAAGGTAGTATCAGACTTCCAACTGCTTCCGTACTTATTCATTAAGTAATTGTTACATTTAATAAGGTTTTACATCTCTGTGTTATTACGCGTAGTGTTATTATAAAATACGCGTTGGAATAGTCGGCTCACTAATGTCCAAATATTGCATCATGTTCGCTAGACAATGGAATAACCATTTACATTTTACCAATCAAGGAATATGATAAAAATATCTTTTAAATAACGTCAACGGTTTGAAATATCATTAATGATACAGCTTGATAAAACCAGAATAAGTATGGAGTCTATAAGTTTGTGTAACAATAGGCATATAAAGAGCTGTAAACGTTTTGTAGCGCAGATAACTTTGCAGATTCTCAAAATTTTGAAGCTCCATCAGAATGACTCAAATAGAATGAATATTTTAACATCACTCAAACTTATACAAACGTTAAAAAAAAGTTTTGAATTCCCAATACCCGAAACAATGTTTGACTTATACCGCTAGGGCTGTGGTGTCAAAGGTTTCATCTTAAAATTATTTTATCTCTCCGCGATCAGAGACAACAACGAGTTGTTTACCTCTTGGCGATCAGAGACAACAACAAGTAGTTTACCTCTTGGCGATCAGAGACAACAACAAGTAGTTTACCTCTTCGCGATCAGAGACAACAACGAGTCGTTAACCGATTAAAACTCGTAAATCAATTTTAAATATACCAATAGAAAAAACTCTTTAAAGTCAATAGAATAAAACAAACCTCTAAAAATGAAGATCAAATTTATAAGTTTCTTGTATAGATATCTACAAAAAATCCTTATATTAGTGTGAGACATCAAAGCTTACGTTTTTATTGCTCATGAAGAAAATATTTACTTTTCATATAAATAAATTTGCCGCAAAATGACGTTATTGCTTTAATTGAATCAGTATTATGCACTAAATAACAGTATTCTGGTGACCTTGTTTTTATGTACTTATATTAAACTACTTTTACTACTTCTTGCACCCAATTTTTTTCCCTGATTTGCCATATGTGTCTCTTTACCCCGAAGTTTATCAATAATTAAACAATCTGTACTTTTCTTTTCTTTCGTCTAGAAGTTTGTATATGTTATAACAAAGTGCTGCTGTCTTGTCATGAGGTTCTTCAGGCCAGTCTGAAGTTCACTTTTGTTATTGTTTACAATCGTTCAGTACCCATGGCGTCGTAGTCATATGAAATATTGTAAAAGAGGCTGGATATATTCCAATCTGTAGTATTTTACTACATTTGTTTACTGCTAAACTCGACCCAGACATAGCAAGTCTTTATAGCCTCTTGTGTGAGATCGTTCTTCGTTTAATGTTGATTGGCGTTTGATATTTTATTTGTAGATTTTAATAATTGCGTTTTATATTCAACCCAGTTTTCGTAAAAAAATTTGACCTTCACTAGTCTAGGCAATCTGTTATTACCGTTTGATCTAACGTTGATTGATAATCGGGAAAGTAAATCAGCAATATACTGAAATCTTTATCAAAATGATTGTGTTTCTGATAACAAAATAGTATATAGTTATTAGATTTCAACAACCACGAATTATAGAATAACTAATCGAAGAATTCAAATATAGACAAATATTCAACGAGTGACCGAACAACACATTAATTCATGAATGCGCCCAGCGCATGAGTCAATTATCAGTGTTGTTCGGTCACAAGTTGAATATTTTTCGATATTTTACTTCTTTGATTAGTTATTCTTGTTATTACATTGACAATGGGCTTTTTAATGGAATTAAAGTAGAAAATGTAAGGAACTATATCTTTTTCTACGCATTCACAATTTGCTTTGATGGGACGTCATCTACAACGTCTTGACAACACCTATTGTTGTATGACGTCAGAGGAGTGAAATAACCACGTTTATTTCACATGTGAAATTATCGGTTTTTATTACAATGGGAAATCAGTGTAATTCATTGCAACCAATGTGATAATGCATTTTATCAGAGTATTCTACTATTACATTTTTTTCTGATCGAATTGTTTATTCGACTATGAGATGGTTGTCGTGTGGTATATTCATTTTCCTCTCAACTCCTTTTTAAAACCAGTCGACTACAGTGGATTCTAAACTTCTGTTACAAAGATTTTTTATTTGTACCTCTAAATTTGATAAACCGAGCGTGTTTAAAAACATTTATATCTTTTATGAAGGTATGCTCTTTATATTCAGTATAATGCATTTAAATTACTTGCATTGATCATATCTTACAATTTCGGGGAATTAAAACATTGCATTCCCTTGCATCTGAACATTTCAGATTTTTACAAACTGTAACAATCACACTGGCCTGGTCAAGTGTACACAATGATTTCGTTAGCAATACGAGGGAAATGCAGTTAACTTTTGCATAACTAACTCTGCCTTTTGTATTGAAAGCTTATTTACATTTTTGTATTTTTGCTAGCTATATTGTCAAACATTCAGTTGCACTAGAGGATCAAATGTTGCTTTGAAACCCAAATGAAATAAAACCGGTTGAAATGAATGTACATTGAATCAGTTCTTTCATTAAGTGAAAATACATTTTTTGGGATGTTAATTGTTTATCAATCACATCTATTTATTTTTGAAGAGTGCTTTCTTAAATGTTTCTTAAATATATGCATGTTTGAAATTCCGTACCGTCGAATTGGAGAGTTTGGTTTTAATTTAGTTCTACTATATATGCGCATTGCATAATTCTGATTGTGGAACTAAGTACATAATTCACGAACAGATGCACGTGTTTTTACACAATACTATGATTTAGGTGCTTTAATGGTTGCACATAACCCTTGTCACACTCACTTTCCAATACACTTTCTACGATTAGAAAAAAAACTAATTAATACTCTAAGACAATTGGTTATAAATCGTGAACAAATGAAAGAAACAATTAATTCTTAATTCATGTTATAAAGTTGTCAATATTAAGCTCATCGAATCGTCTATCAAATGTCTAATAAAACGTTGATTTATAAGTGAAATTATTTCATTGTGAAACTGACAGTTTGTTAATAAGATTTTATAAAGGTTACAATTCACAGGTGTTAAGTTATAAGTCATCTTATTGGGGCTTGTGTACTTATATTTTAGGGAAGATAATTATACGGTTTAAGTTGAGAAAAAATGTGCCTCGTCAAAATATTTAATATAAGGTATACATTGTAGCTAAAAAAATAATATTAAATGGAGACAAAAATTTAAGATAGTTACTAAATGGTATAATTATGTGTATAATTTTCGTGTTATTATTATATATCTTCAAACGAAGAATAATGAACTACATATATCATCTGTCTTTTAAAGTTAGAATTATGAATGTGTTTAACTGATATATGCAGTCGTTACGTCCCCAGTTAAGATGGTGTTATTAATTTTTATCTTTTCGACTGAACATCTTATTAATCTTTCGTATATTATTGATCTAACAATCCCAAGTGTATTGAAGCTATTGTAAAAGTAATTAACAAAATTACTGAGCTATAGTCCTGACTTCACCTGTGACATTGGGGTTCTCCTGATTACGACAGACGATAGCAGAGATCGATAGCAGACATGCGGTTACTCTGCGGAGATTTATCTCTGAAAAAATATGATATTCACTTAGAACTAAATAATATCATGCGATTTACATACGCTAACTTTTGATGTTAGCAAGATGCACTGTGGGAGTGCATATTCTATTTTAGAAGTAATTTCGCAATGGAAAGTGCTTTTAACAAAACTTTTGAATTTAGAATTATAAATCTTTATATTTTTCCAGATGATCAGCAATGTGAAGGACAAGATGCACGAAGCATTGCTTCATTGAAGGTATGCATTTTTATGTTTATTATATTTAGTTTAGAGCATTTAAACTTCTTGTATTGATTATATCTTACCATTTTGAGTATTTGAAAACATGCCCTTGCAGCTGAATGTTTCATATTTTGACGAATTGTAACATACAGTCTTGTCCAGTGTACGAGATGACTTCATCCCTAATGCGACCAAAGCTGTTTACATCTAACTATATATCTTTTGCATACATTGAAAGCTTATTTGTTTGGTTTCATTTACCTTTTTAAAATTTTTGCTTGATATATTGTAATGCGAGTAAAACATCGTATAGATATATCAAGTTTCGAACACATTTTTCGTGTTTTAATAACTTTAACAAAAAAAATAAGAAAGATATAATGATTCAGAATGTCGGAGAGTACAAATGTGTATGCCGTTGACCTCAACCTATTCAGAAGCACAACGGAGAAAATTAGTAATTTGTAAAACGATAAACTGATGTCTTCGTCTTTCGTTAAAATCCTATTAAATTAAATGGTCATCTCGTTATATAATTTTTGTCTGGGAGTTGTTTCGCATTTCATTTTATATAATTAATATTTTTTTATTATTTAAAAAGGCAGATGTGTGATTAATTGAATGTTTCATGTATCATTTTGGCTGTGTCTCAAGTGTTAGATTGGTTAATTTGTACATGTAAAAAAAATGTTTCAATTTGATTGTATTCTCAAGTAAACATATGCCCCCACTTAATTTTATGACTACAAATTTTATATGAAAAATAAATTTAAATATAAAACTTTAACACCTTTGCTAAAGGACCAGACACAAGCATGCACATTAAACCGTTCTTTAAAAGCGAACACTACATACCAACTCAATTAATAAAATACATTTGTTTGCAGCACAGTTTTTACAACCCACCATATTGCAACTCTTTTTCTTATTGAACCGAGAAGACAACTATCATACTTGAGCAATGCAATAAGCCTTCATTCGGACTTTCGTTCTAACTTGGGAACTTGCCCGGATTGGAAATTCCGTATGGTAAATGCAACTTAGGAAATACGTAAAGAGCATAACTAAGTCATTTTTCAATTAAAAGATAGGTAAAACCCGTTTTTAATTTTAAGTTACACCAGAAAAAAATGAACATCGTAAGAGATAACATGGATCTGACACAGTGACATACTAATGAAAATGAAACCTCATGGTAGCTGACACGTGTTATCAATGTTCTGCTTCCGACATTCTTTTTCAAATGAAAAGATATCACAGTATCGCAGCTCATTTCTAAATTCAGCATTTAATTTACTATTTCGATCAGCGTGGATGACAGACTATAGCAATGTGCGTTTGATAGATATTGAAAATGTTTACTCTGTGGGCAAACAAAGTCTCAAAATCCCACGATGCTCTACAGATTGTTTCTGTTAACCGTTATTTTAGCAAAAAACACGAAGATTTAGTATTTATGGTTTGTGACTTTCTGATTTCTTGCACGTTGCGCTTACCATTTTGTATACAGTAGTTTATTCGAACATTTTTATAATAGTCATTCGTATTAGTTAAACATGTCTTTTTTTAAAAACATTTTCGTTGTTCAATTTGAAGGGTTTCATATAAATCTTATGTGTTTGGGGGCAAAATACAAGTTATCTTCATTTAGTCATAGCCTGATAAATATATTTTTATGTAACCATCTGACATTTTTATATTGTAATCATTATCCTGGTGATTACATTTATTGTTATCCCATATTATGGTAAACTACAGCAATAAAGCTAAAACATTGAATGAAATTATCATCTTTCATTTTTTGTGCCACCACTGAATGAGTGGGTGGTAAACTGTAATGATTTTGTCCTCCTGTCCATCCCTTCGTCTGCTCATAACTTGTTATATATTATTCTGATTGAGGGATAATTTGATATTTGACCTGGAACCTTATGTTGAGTTGTACCCATGTAAGCGATTTCAGACTTGCACGACAGTTGCTATCTGTTTGTAGATTCTTTAAATATGTATTATTCTCCGTAACTGCTATGGATTTTTTTTCGGTACACATTACTAAGCTTCTGTTTGATATTTGGGAAGGATATTTTTTATTATACCAACTAAGAGTTGAATTGTTCGTTACTTATAACGCAGATTATGTATTAAGGAATGGTTTGATGTTTGGCCTTGACCTTCATGATGATGAGTCAGCGATTTTTTGATCAGCCGTTTGATGATACTTTGAATGCTTATTGTAACCACTGAGAAATTATTTTTCAGATCAGCCGTTTGAAGATACTTTGAATGTTTATTATAACCACTGAGAAATACTTTTTTATTGTCAATGTCTAATAACAAGTAGAAAGTAAAATAACAAAAATACCGAACTCCAAGGAAAATTCAAAACGGAAAGTTCCTTATGAATGGCAAAATGAAAAGCTCAAACACATCAAACGAATGGAAAACAACTGTCATATACCTGACTTGGTACAGGCATTTCCTGATGCAGAAAATGGTTGATTAAACATGGTTTTTTAAAAAAGTATATTTTGCATTACATCGTTTATATCTAAATTAATCAATCAAACATTAGATATATTCTGTTTCGATGGATACATTTTGGTTATGACCTTGACTTCCATGCCATGACAATAGGCAATGTTACTGATATAAATACAAAGATTATTCTTATTAACAATTACAAAATTAAACCGTGTGAAAATAATTTTATTAAAAAAATGTATTATTATTTTTTTCAGGTTCACAATGATACGAGATTTTAATTGTAAAAAGTACATAATAATCGTTGTGAAACTTGTCATTTTAATTGGTATGTCAGATCGAATTGCTGCACGAAAACTCCCTTCAAAACAAGCACAGACCGGCCACGATTACTACACCGATGTAAACACCGATGATTTCACCTATGACACCAACAAAGTACTTCCGGAAGGATCGGAGGTAAAAGCCTATCTTCTAGTCAACGAAACGACCAAGTGAGTTCAATTTTGGGGTTAATTATAGTATTAATTTTTGATTTATGTGTATTTTAAAGAATATTGAGGTTGTATCTTTTTATTCTTTTCAAAATTTGCGGGACATTAAATGTCTTTGGTCTTTCAATACATATACCCCCTGTATGTTGTAATTGTCTTTAATTGTTTCAATGAACTTTACAAGGTGAATTTTCCGAATAGTTGTATTTCGATACTATTCATGTTTTCTCTTTTCTAAATATCTGCTGTCGGTGCAAAGACTGAAATGTTTTAAATTTGAAAATTTGATGATGACCCTCGGATATGACATTACAAACAGCTCCTTTTTCCCATTCTGAAACGATATTTGATATATATCATTAGAAAATTATAAACAAAAACATTTTTATAAGGTATATAAAACTAACATTGTGCATTGCAAGTTTTTCTTAATCTTTAGAATAAAATCGTTTTATCTTATGCATCATATAAGCATAATTCCATACTGACAATTATGGTTGTCGTTTGTTGCTGTCTGCCTTATTTGTTTTTCGTTTGTTGTTTAAAGCGCAAATCAAGTCGTTGTATTTCTATTCATAATTGTTTCAGTTTCTAAATATACATTTTGTTGGGTTTTTTTTCGTTTTCCCAACTTTGATTTCAAACCTTCATAAAAAGTTTATTTCATAGAAACACGTGCCTCAAGAAAAAAAGTCGTTATCGCACTGTAGTTTGAGCTCTTCTACAGCTTAAAAAATAAAAGAGAATGTGTTATTTACAAACGGTATGATTATTTTAAAAATCGAATTCCGTTGCACTCATTGACTGGTTGATGTATCAAGGAAAGGAAATTTCTTAAATCCGATTTCCTTTGAACACAAAGGTGTAAATGACATTCTGAATTCGAACATATGACATAACAAGGTTACAGTTCACCTCAGAAAGTCTTGGATTCAATCGTAAACTCAGAAATAGATTCATGTAAACAAACATCTAAGCACTTATGTATGTGCTGTAAATTACGATCATCGAGTACAGAACGATTCAAAGATGCATGAAATAAGACATGCAAACCAACTGAATAATTAGTCTTTACATTACGTAATTGACCTAAAATTACGGAAATAAAAAAAAATCACGTATATATGTTTAATCTGGCTTTGATGTGGAGTTGTACATAGAACACATTGGGAAGAGGGGGAGGTTTATTAGAAATTAAATTAATGAAGTTTGTCTTTACAGTCTTGTTAAGTCGTATCTGGCCTAGAAGTTTCATGTGATCTTTAATTAGAATAGATATCCAATGTACATTCTGGTATTCAGTACTTAATTCTGTTGAAGAGACATAAAAGTTTAGACCGTAGATACAAAATTGTATGCATTATTGTAAAATTTTGCATCGAATGCCGTCTTTAATCAAAATAGAAAACAATTTATGAACTACTTGGAATAGATAAAGATTTTAGTGAAGAATGTCTTTCTTATATATTTTTGGATTAAGTCTCAAAATTAGTATATATACCCAATGTAAATTCTGGTATGCAGCACATATTGCTGTTGAAGAGACATAAAAATCTAGATACAAAATTGTATGCATTATTGTAAAATTTTGCATCGAATGCCATCTGTAATTAAAATAGAAAACAATTTATGAACTTCTTGAAATATATTTAGGTTTTAGTTATGAATGTCTTTCGTATATATTTTTGGATAAATATTCGAAATTTGCTAAAATCTATCAAAATTCCGGTTTTGAGTTATCTTTTGGGTATTTATGTTTAGAAATAAGAAGCAGTAAAAGATGGAAAATTGTCGAAAACCGCTGTGAAATAATATAGAAAATATTGGCCCTACTTATTTGCAAAAAGGGGATGGTTGGTTTTCTGCATTAAACGATTCTTAGTGTGCACTTTGCACTTCTATAAAGGTATTTGTAACATGTATGCATCGAAATCTTGGTATTCAATACGTCATATAAAATAAATATATGAATGTCAATGATACATCTTTTCAAGAGAATCCAAATGAAGCGGACTTAAGCAAGTATTGGTCACCGTACGGCCTATGCTGTTTTTGTATCAAAGTTCGATAAAAGCTTTACTTGTCGAATGAGGCTATGAGAAAATTGTGAATGGAATTATCTACGCAAGTAAATTTACTCTAGTGTGTAGTTGATCACAACTGGTATAATTGCCATTTCTTAAAATAAATAAATATCCTTTTATCTCATAAAGGGATTAAAACATAAAAATCATTCATTTCGTGTCTTTTTAAACAAGATTGACCAACACCGAGATATTTGTTTTTATTTGGCATTGTTTGTTTTATATTGAGCTATGTGTTATATTTTATAGTAATGTAGATCAAATATGTATTTACCCCACGGAAACATGATAATGCAGATTCGTTATTATTGCTGTTCACTATTGTCACCTCCAGTAGATCAAAGTTGTTTATCAAATTATTATTTTATACAAATTAACCAATTGGAATTTGGATTAAGTCATCGCACATATAGGGCGCGTCTCAAAGGTCTAAAAATATTATTATATTCATCAGAGAACCTACAGCAAAACTATATGTAGACTGATTATTTATAGTTATGTTTTTTTTTCTATAAGCCTTTAAACACTATAATTTCATGGCTTCTATTGGGGTTTCTTTTATCGGCGGAGGACATTTGAGCGCATTGATAGTACATTTTATATCGTCTTAAATGCTATGATAGTGTTCAAGGAAGAAGACTTATATGAATGGCGAACAAAAATGAATTATGTGTTTATTACACACATAATAAATCTTAGCTTGTATTAACAAATTATACTGAGCATTACAAAGCAAAAATTACGAATGAATTTATACTTTCAATCATATTCCGTTTCAGTTTTGAGTTGGGTTTTTTTTTATGACATTGGACCCTTATTACGCAATATTTGTCAGTCGCAGAAATGCTACACTGCGTGTTAATCAAAACAATATATTATAACCTTGCTGTAATTTGTCATAACTGCCATAACAAATATTGATTTCTTGTTTAATCTGCCACCGTTTAGGTCTAGAGCAATGTTTCTGTGTATCTATCATAGTCAATTCAGACAGTAACATACATCATATTTCTGCCACTAAAATAGATTATTTTCTCTTGCTTTTGATCTCAATCGTTAACATTTCTACTGCACAAGGTCATATTAACCACCAGGGTACATTTATTTGGCTAGAGATTAAGGTGGTACCAAACACCTTGACTAAAATTAATTTTCATAAAATTTTGACAAAATATTTACTTTGACCCTTTGACAAAAATATAAAAATTTCAAAAAACTTGAACCACACACTCTATTTGAAAAATTTCATTGGATATATAGCAGTTTGACAAACACTAATTTTGATCATTGAGAAGCTTAATATTTCCTTAACGATAGAACATGATTAAAACGTTCAGCTGATTTTTAAAGAGTTATCTCCCTATAGTGTTATGTATCACCTTAAGGCTAGATTTATAGTTAAAAAAATAAATTTCAATCTGATAGAACTTGTATGATATGATTAATTTAACAGATCAGTGAAGGTTATCATATGCGCGTCATATTGAATATGCATGCATGAAATACTTGCAACTCGACGTTTAGCAAGTAATAATCATTCAAGCGAAAACCCTTTGCATACGTAAAATTAAAGAAAGTTCCAAAAGATTATATCAACAAGGACAAATTCAAAATAATATTAGAACAATAACAATGATAGTATCATAGAAAAAGCATACATAAGACGAGCCCGAACGAATGTGCAGACCATCGAGAGCAATTAAAAGGTGCTAGAACAAGAAGGGGAAAAACACAAGCCAAAGAGAACTTCATATATAAATAGATTTGCAAATTTAAAGGCTTCGGATTAGATGTTTTCAGCGATATAATGAAACGTCTGGTCGGATTGAGTGCGATTCAGGCAAAAGTCCTAACCCCCATCTTTTTTCATGGCTTCACTTTTTTGTAGAATATGATAAACGTTTTGTGTTGTTTGTTCTCGTCATAAACATGGCTCTATTTTCAAATTGTTTGATGTTAAACATCATTTAATCAATCAGTCATAGATTGGTTGTATGCTGTTACCCATTCATTGACATTGCGTCATCGACTGTTTTTTAGAGTTGGTGGAATAGGTTCAGTATTACGTTAGATGAAACCGCAATTATTGTTTATAGACATCACTTTGTTTACTTAATTGGCTTCACAGGTGAATCGAGTTTCATTTCTTTGCAAATCCTTTCATCATTTTTATTGCAGTTAATTACCAAATCTCTTTGCATTTAATTATTCGTCCATTAAGCTGATCAATGCTCACAGCAGTAAGTCCAAACTTCAAAAGTGCTGTTATAACGGCTTTCATTTATCACTCTTTTAACCGTTTGTACGATTTCGGTTTTCTTGTTACCAACTCTCAGCCTTGACCTAAGTTTTTTAGGATTTGATGAAAAAGTATGTGTTTCTTTAAGCAATTTCTGAAATTTATGTGCTGTTTTATCATATACATGTACATGACTTTTTCTTTTTCCTTATTTTTTAAATGGTTAGGATCTCATTTTGCTTTACTACAGCAGTTTAATTAAACTTGTGCAAATGAACAGACCGGAGAGTTGGTATTTATTATAATCCTGTACTTACTAACTATATAGCGTCGGCAAAAATGGGAATAAAATAGAATATTTTACCAACTGTGGGTTGTTCTATTTACATATTTCTGTATGCTGTCGGAATAGGGACATTAAATCTGAAGACTCGGGTAAAGCGAAAGTACCACTGTTTCTGGGAAAAGGGAAGTAAATTTAATGCTAAAGGGTCAATGAATTGACCTGAAGGGAAATCAGATTTATTTGAAGCATACATTTTAAAATAGATCACATTTGCCCATGAAGCCTTATATTGCCAAATTCTAATTTGGCGAAAAAACAATCAATTGGCGATGAAAACAATCAATAGGCAAAGAGAACAATCAATTGGCGATGAATATAATCAATAGACTAAGAGAACAATTAATTGGCGATGAGAACAATCAATTGGCGATAAGAACAATCAATTGGCTATAAGAGAACAATCAATTGACGATGAGAACAATCAATTGGCTAAGAGAACAATCAATTGGCGATGAGAACAATCAAAATACCACTAAAGAAAAACCAAATTATTTTTTAAAGATATGATTTTATATTGTGAAAATTGCAATTTAAAACAAATAATTTTGTTAACGTGGCCTCGTTTAAGGGCACACGACCGATTCATTACACACTGTTTAATTATCTGTTCAAATTACTCTAGCTGCCGTAAAACTATCACTTTTAATAACTAGTCGTACATTTTCTTACCGTTTTGTCTACGTACCTTAGACAGGTAAGCGAATAAAAATGATAATTAGGTATGGTAATGATTATTAGATACATCTCGCATCGGATTTATAACACATTAGATAAGAAGGACTCAAGATTTATACCCCTTTCAGGTGCATATTGAGGTATCATATTTTTCATAATGCTTTTTCACTACTTCACGAAATGCAAAATTAATGATAGCAACAAAAAAAGTATATACTTTACAAGGTTGTAAGGATGTGGTTAAGTTGATTTACAAGGTTGTAATAATTTGTAAACAAAAATATATTTCAATAAAGAATGTGTATTGAAGAGGAAGTAAAATAACATCCTTTGAAAAAGAGATTTCTTAGGGGGAGAGTTGAGCACTCGCATACATGGTTAACCCAACCACATTGTATATGTGACTTCCTGTACAGTTGATGGCGTTATTGTATGAAATCTTCTATGATGTACAGTCACCGATATTAGAAGTAAGGACGACATGACATCGAAAAGCCTATTATAGGGGAAAGAACAAAAACGACTACATCCAAATAATGCTTTGAAATTTGTTTTCATGTTTTATCTTTTTTTTTCGCGGAGTTGCAGTGATTTTATGTTTTAGTTATATGAATCGAGTTTAATAGACAAAATGCAAATTGATTAATTTAAATTAATTTCCTCAAGAAAATGTCAGATTGGCACTTACGAGGAAAATTTTTTAAAAAATTCCTCAGAATAAAGTTTATTGACTTTATAGCTAATTTACATGTGAGAATCAAGGAAGTTATTCTAAAGGTCACGAATGAAAGGTTCAAAGATTGAAACGTGAGGTATGCTGTGGTATATGATAAATAGGTATTTAATGTTTTGCATAAGACGTCAAAACAAGATGTGTAGAAATAAACACATAAAGTATTAATGAGTTAAGATTTAGAAATAAATATTGAAAGTAAATTTTATTTATTAATTTTCATTTTTTTGTTCGGTTAGTTTTTAAAAAGTAGAGAAATTTATGCTTTTTACAATGTCAAAAGATAGTTCACAATATAGCTCCTATATTTGTCAAACAATGAGGGATGTTACTCTGAACCCCTTGTCATTTATAATGACTATACCTTTGTGTCTATAGCTCTGTGCCTTCCGGACTGACACTGTTCATAAGTTTTTAAAGACGTAAGGTAATTTCCCCTGAAATTATTTCACTGCAGAGTCATATTAAAAAAGTCTTGCATTATTCACTAAAATTCACAGTACACCTTAAGGTTCTTAAATCGGTATGACATATTTTTTAATCGGTGGTTAAATTATAAATTTTAAAATACCACAGTTGCAACTTCAAATGTAACACTTAACTACTGGTGGCAATTTCAAGTATATTGCTCCCCAAAACTGCCTTTTTAGATTAGTATCATGGAAATATATTATTTATATCATTATGTCCTACAATATACTAATTCATGACACAAAATAACTAAATACGGTCAACAAAACCTAAGGTAAATGAGTTTTTATTGTTGTTATTCATCTAAACATCACTGTGAGGCTTTCAACATAGAGCAAAGGCTCATATCTCACTACAGGTTAAGGCGGCCTTTTTGAGCAAATTCTTTTTTCTCAATGCCTTTAACGCTATAGCTGTGCACTGGTTTAGATAAATAGTTAACACACCATTTTTATTGCAAAATTACACCCATAAGGGTCAAGTAATAACAAATAAAATACACATACAAGAATACAACAAATAAACAATTAAGCTAATACCCAAATGTAATATTGAAGTTACTACATATATGTATCATAAACCTGTTTGACATTGGTCTGGCGCCCTCAGTTCTGAAGACTGTTAAATAAAAACTCCAGTATGTCAAACAAGTTCAGGGGTGGGTCTAAGAATGCGTACCATTTTATTAACTGGATCAAGATCTTGAAAATGGGGCTTTTAATTAACAATTGTTTTAATGTAGTTCACCTCTAATTCAATGGTTTTGAGCTTACTCGTGAAAAGGAATGTCATCCAAGTTTAGTTTCTTAAAATATAACTATGATAAATTGCTGAAATTGGGCGGAATTCTGTTCGCCCTTTTTTACAACACGATGCGAATCTAGCTTCCTATCTTACTATCTATTGGTTTTGGTCAACATATTTTCCCGTATTATAACTACCGAACAGCTACACCGCTGAGATTCTCCAGATCTATTATTTCATTAATTTCTTTTACGGTTATTGAAAAGTTGCGAGATTACGCACTCTTTACAATTCACTCCTGCACTAAAAGTTCAAGCAAACCGTAAATAAGAATGCTTATGTATAATATTACATCCAAATTGTAAAAGTGCGGATTTTATTATACCACCCATTCATCAGCACACCTTTTGTCTTAAAATGAATGAATTCTTAAACCTCCATGTTAAGGACAGATTTTTTTTTTATTGTAAGGAAAGTAGGCATGAACTTTATACTAGTCGCGGTATACATTTCTGCGTTAAAATGTCGAGTGAGCTGTGGTTAATAACGAGCGCCATGGGTTACCATGGTTAAGATGTAAAAGAAAACAATGTGATTTCCGTGACCACAACACGCGCCTCTGAGGTAACCGATGTACGCTGGAGATAAAAAAAAACCCACGGAAATACAAAATTATAAAACGTCTAGGAGAATAACAATTTTAAAAAGTCAATTCGTCAAAGATGTACTCTGCCTCTGGGAGTTGCAACATAGGATATGGATAATCTTTGCAAAGTTTTAACATATTTTGATTTACCTCTTCCTTCGACTTTGCGACTGTCTTGGCATCTTCTGTTCACAAGTTTCGTAAAATGTAGCTGTTAGTATATGTTTTCTTATGCGAAATGCTAAAAAAAATAAAATTGAACACCTTGACCTTCTGTGAGGACAAACCTTCTTTTCATTTATTTATAATATATTTATGCAATAAGTCAGAACTCGAGATTTGATGAAATGCATTTCTTAAGTGATTTACACATTCCAAGGATAAATTTAGAATTAAAAACAGAATCTTTTGCATATGCATTTGTGAAATTGCACCTTTCAACAACTCTATAATTCTCTTATAATAAACGTTTATTTCACATTGATTGAAAAGATGTTAAGAAAATGAAAAAGGCTATCAAAGATTCCACAGACTTTGCATTAGACATAACACAGTTAATCACTGGATTAAATAAAACACTGAAATAGAAACGTTCTTGTATTGTACGAGACAATCAGCCAGAGAGTGAATTTAGATGAAATGTGGGGACTCTAAATAATTCAGCGCACATCTTACAAACCATATGTATAAGGTTTAATCCTCAAAACAGACATAGCACGGACACAAATGAGGGGCAAAATAAAATGACATATCAAAATTTTTCTTTGATGACTCATAAAAGTATTACTGGTATTACTGAAAATATTGGACATTACAACAGACCTCAAAAACCACACAAAAACGGCTTCTCTGTGAAAATAAACAAAAAGTCAAACAACAACAAACAATAACAAACAACACATAGTTGATGGATGTGGAACAGATACACAATTTGGTTGGGTTTATAACTGAGAACACTTTTTAGCGTTTCATTTTTTTAGTAAATAACACATCATTGGAAAGGATATGTACTGTGTATATCAATCTTATTTTCATTTTGATATTGTATGTTTATTTTTCTATGTGTATGACTTTTTTTCCAGGGTACTATTTCTGATCGAAGAGGACGATCCAGTGTCTTTGAAAATCACTCCGTGTGCATCTGCTGTCGAATCAAGTGTTCTATATAAAAGTATATCTGATAGTAAAGACTATGAAGGTAAGTCGTTTTTTAACCTCGGACAGGATTGTTTGTTCTGGATAGCTACCTTTTTTATTTTGATGTATGGATTTCAGTTGGTTTGTTGAGTAAAACATATTGTGTTAAGTTGTGTTCCACCAGTTTTGAATAAACCAGCCACCACGTTCCATTGTTATTAAGTTCGTCAAAATACGGACAGTGACTCAAATATGTCATTGACCGTTCTTTACAAATGAAAACAGTCATAATTAACTTCTTTCTTGTCAATCAAAGTAGTAAACTACTTGACCACACATGGCGGTAGCCATATTACTCTCCTACTTTTTCAATTATGTTATTATTACCTCTAATTGGGGTAATTGTTGAACATTGTTAAAAGGTTCTTTTGTGTATTCATATCGTAAAACGAATGTATCTGTATTTTATCTACCTTTTTTAAAAAATTTTTTTTACGAAAAGTGAAAACAAAATGGTTGAAGACAATGTTAAATTCATCAAGAGCGTGTTCTTGCGCGTCTGTGTTACACCCTGACATTGCATTCTATTGTATTGTATTTAATTATTAGCGAATATTTATTGAAATTTTGGATAATTCACTTTCCGTTTCAAATATTACATGCATATTTAGGTCGATAACATATGAATGTGACCTAATCATGAACCCAGATATGTACTAGAAAGACACTTTGGGTTAGAATTTTAGCTCAAATAGTAACAATCTATAGAAGATATGTTACCCAATCCGGACATTTAATTCTTATTTCGGGTCGACCATTCTTAACTTTACTCTTATGCCACTTAGTTTGAGCAGCAAATTCAAATTTCACGTCTGTAGTTTGACCCGAACCAGTTAAGAACACACGACCTCCCGCAACATTCAAGGCAAAAACGAGACCACCGAGGTGGTTATATTTTCGAAGACTAATTCAGAAATAATTCACAACTAACCAACTAGCTAAATTATTTAATTGAAAAATTGAATCTTGTGCAAACTTTTTTATTTCATTTATTTCATAAGCTGAGAAATCATAAGATCCACACTGATTGAGAAAAGCAGTCAGAAAATTTCGTAACCGTCCTTTCGTATAAAGCCTAACGTGCAGCTATATTATAACATTTCCTAGAAAACTAAATACTAATGTGTTAAATATGCTAGGTTCGAACTGACCATATGTTGTTCAAAAATGTTTTATGAAATCTGTAGTCAATCAAAATGTGCACCATGGGTGTCATTTCATGATTCAAAATTGAAGTTGACATGCAGAAATATGACATCATTGCACTACAAACAGTATACTTTTAATTGAAGTAGGAGCATACCCGATAGACGAAATACATTGCACAGCATTATAAATGTCTAAATATGATTTTCAGAGGTTAGGAAAATTAATAAAGATGAGCTCTCGTTAATATTGTTGGTGTTAAAATGAGTGATAAATTTATATAACGTATAATATTCGATATCGCCTCGGTCGATTCCGATACCTTGCGATCAGCTTTAGTGCTTGATATTGCGGTCTCCGGATGATATATTGTAAATGTCCTGTTAACTCTACTTCGTTTACACTTAAAATTTCAGTTTCCTCATTGACATCCATGTTGCAGCGATGCCAACAGTGCATCATCAGAGTTCGTCACCTAAAAAAACTTCTGCAACCAATTACAATGAGCAGACAAAACATATATATTTTCAATAATTGAAAAAGCGTATGGCAAGCTTTATTCCAGACCGTCATTATGCATACAGATATTTTTTTATGTTATCGTAGTGTTAGGTCTATGTATTGTTCTTATTTCTGGAATTCCACTTAGATGGTGTTTTTAATAATAATTTTCTTTGAAGTTTGAAAACCACTAATTACAATAGTGTAATTTTAGACATGTAAATGACAACGTTTTACAGAACTATGAATTATATCGCTGTGTTATTTTTATGTATGTTTTAGCGCATAGAGTATAATGAGTTTTCGACATGTTGAATTGTGCCAAGACTGTAAGAAAGGTCACTTGGGTACAAAATCAAGCACAGGTCTTGGAAATCTCGTTAACGTAAAAGAACAATGAACCTTTCGTACTGCAAGAAAAGATAAATATTATGCATAAACAGTTATATCTATCTGTTTTTATTATAAAAATTAATCACAATTTTACGGTATATTCAATGTCATTCGTTCTGTAATCTCAACAGTTTCTTGCTTATAAAACAGCAGTATCTTTATTAAGTTTTGCTAAGATGTTTTTCAATGTCAAATATGTTATTTACCCTAAAGAAACGATCTTTTCAAAAGATATGCAATTACATTCAAGCAATAAATCATTAAATAAAAGATCGTCAAGGGCACCATGCGTGCAAAGTTAACAGCAACATATATTTGATCGGTATTTTTTGCAATTTGTGTAAAAAATTGAAACTAAAAAAAAACACACAAAATGAAGCATCATGCTGTCACAAATGGTAATAATGCTAAAATCACACACGAGGGAACAAAAGGAGACATCTTTAAAGATATATTAATAGGAAAGATACTCTTACCATACTTAGTGCTAACTCGAATAATTCAATCCCTCTCCGTGTCCGATTTTCTTCCAAGCGAGGATTAATGTAGCCATCGTAGATCAGCGAAATATAACGACTGAATTATTCGGGTTAACTTAGTGCATTAAACATGATTGATTAGTACTGAAGTTTATAAATATGCTAATTCTATCCAATTTCAGATGATCCATTGTTTGAAGAGCAAATAAAACCAACAAATCCAGCAGGGATACAGTTGGATTCGTATGTGGGTTCAGAGGCTCATACATTTCAAAGAAGTGTTAATTCAACTGGAATTTATACAGTGTTCTTAAGGCCGACTGAAAGTGACACTTATGTTAAATTCTTCCTTCGATTAAAAAAGTTTGCAAGGGATAGCACATTTTATCCATCTTTACCTAGAAATTCCGCAGTTCGTGCAGATAGCATACGGCGAAAAAGTTTCACAGTTTCTTGGAACCGTAGTCAGGACGAGACCCCTTATGGGAATATTATAACGTATTGTGTATCTGTGAGTGCTAAAAGGAGTTCCGATACCTATTGCTCACTCATGTCTTATATGTTCGGAGATAAATTGCCGGTAGTATCCAAGAGTAGAGGATTCTTCTTTGCGTGGGAGGACGAAGTGCTAAAAATATTCCAGAGTAAAGCAAGGCCAGTGAAAAAGGTGAAACCAAGAGAAATTCACTATACCTGTGTAGGTACAAATACAAAATATATTTACACCCAGGCTAGACCTGGGAAAACTTATTACATAAATGTGTATGCGATTAATAAACGGACTAATATGAGTAGTGCATATAAAAAATTAGAAGTAAAGACAAAAAAGCGGAAGAAACGGGACAGAATTCGAAAATTGCGAGATGGAAAACTTCAAGAGTTAGAGTTTAAAAAATCAAAATTAAGATTTGATTTTAAATATGACCTTAAAAATACCAGTGATCTATTTCTTGCCGTCCATTCTTGTACTGGTAAAGTGACGTTAAAAGTAACACGTGGTTCATTACGTGGTGAGTCAGTTTTAGTGAAAAAAGTGAAACGTTCTTCCATGTTTACACTTAAAGATTTGAAGGCGGATACTTATTTCATTGATATAGTTAGCCGACAAAGAGATGTTCCAAAGACAGCACGATTAGTGGTATCTAAAAAACAGTCAAAACTAAGGTACCCTATCTTGCCACGGAAATCTGAAGTATTTCTGGTGGACAATAGTACTACAAGTAATTCATTAACTATAGGTTGGCGGGTAACCAAATCAAGACGGAAATTTTGTATATATCAAAAGGAAATTTTAGCCCGACGGAAACGGCGGCGGAATTATAATCAGTGTAGTAATAAGAGTCAATCTCCTGTTGTAGATAGTAAAAAAGTGAAATGTATGATAGTTAGACATCAAAAACCTAACATGGTGCTAAACCATCAAATCAGAAACTTAAAAAGTAACACTCTCTACCAATTCGATGTTGTTATACAACTCGGTAAAGGATATTCATTACTGTATAACAGTTTACAAACAGCAACAAAACAACATTTATGAAATAATTGTACATAGGTAATATCCGGTTCTCCGGAGGAAAAGTTTCCTGGGAGCTTCTCTAAGTTCTAAAACTCGCACCTGATGAAGATTAGTCCAGATGCACATGTCGTCTGCACCCAATCGGTATCAAACGTGCGTTTATTAGCCTATGGAGGTATTTGTGCCATCCCAAGTGTCAATCCATTTTTTAAAGGAGGATGCCTTTCAATGAGACATTTGAACGTGTAACATAGTAAAGCATATTTTTAAAAGACACCGTTAGTAAGAAGTAGTAAGAAGTAGATTACAACTTTCATTTAGCTGGATATAATAATAGTTCGACACAATTCAAAGTTTGTCGTTTTCTAAGGGTGGAACGATGTATACACGTTTGAAACATGTTTTATTGTCATAAAATGGGTGGTAAAAGGGCTAAATTCGACGAAAACTCATAACCCTCCATTTTCATAGGTTGTCATAAGCAATGGTCCTTTTACGTAAAGTTTTCTCCTCAATTTTAGTATTATAAATTGTTGAGCTTGTTCGCTTCCTAGATGTTAAGCTAACCACAGACATGTATTGATATTATACGAAACAACTTCCTGTTCACCTCTACCACTTAATGATACAACCTGTACAGCTGTAATGCCTGATTTTTATTCAAATGACATTTCTTGTATTTTTTTTAAGTTAAGTTTGTAATAGCCGATCGTTTGCGTTAGGTTTTTTTCAATACGGTACATTTTATATGTTATTGATAAAACAGCTCCAAACCGCATCCTCGATTGACACTTGGGACTATAGACTATTGTTTAAGTACAAGAACGAGAACTCGAAATGTTTGTCTGTGATTTCTGGGGCGTCTTTTGTGATAGCCCGGACTGCCTTTGTTGAACACTTCAAATGTCATTCCGAATATGTGTGATTAGTCAAAAAAATAATTTGCAATTATATGTCTTGTTTTGTATTGTATGCAAATGTCTAATTCAAAAATGTTGGTGCAGAAAATTTGTTTTGTTTTAATGAGTTACACTCTTTGCACCCAATTTTACCTTAAATCCTGTTCCAATGAAAATATATCTGCTATATCATTCGGTCTAAGACATGTAATATGATATCAGTCAATCAACCGAATATCAATCAACCGAATATCAATCAACAAATATTATTTGAAGCAGAGCGTTATTTTCACTGTCGCTCTCGGTAAAGGGCTGTCTATGTTTAAGAAAGTATAGACATTTTGTATATTTTAAGAACAGAATCCTCGCTTTTAACTTTTGCAATAATTAAGAAAGAAAAAATAGTGAAAGCGAAGCTGATAATTTCAGAGAAAACTGTTGAAACGTAAATACTAAGAACGTTATATAAACCTCAAACGAAGGGAAAAAAAAAACGAATTTTCTGCACCAGTGTTTTCTATGTATATGTCTTTCATGTTTTGTTGTCTATCAAAGTTGAATGTTAATGTTCATATTAAAGTGTTTGTGTTCAAAAAAGTTTATTCAAGATTTTAAGTCTTTCATGCATTTTCATTCATGATTTATTCATATTGATATAGTAAGTGTACATTTTTAATGAAAATGTAAAAAGCACATGATTTTTGGATTGATGTCTGCGTCATTTTCAAACTAGTTATTTATTTGAATAGCACTCACACTGATGAAACTTATGTCAAAAATGTTCATCGGCTGTGCGTGGTCATAGTTTTCAAGCTACAAAATGACGATTGTGAACTGCCATTCATTAAAGAAAAAAGATTTCATATGCGTCATTTTATATCATTAAATTCAAAGGGTCCAGTGTAAATAAATGATTTTATTGTTGAATTAAATATCAGATTGTGCAATTTATTTCGTAATTTATTTTCCACCCTGTTTCTTCAATCAGGGGCAAAAATCCTTTTTATTGGCCCAATTACTTTATTTTCATTATATTTAACTAAGCGAAACTAACATTTTTTTCTTGTACATGCCTTAAAAAATTTCGTTATCAATTACAATGCAAGATTTCCTTATAGATGAAACAATGGTTCCGCCTTAAGGTCGACTTTAAAAATTCCTTTTATACCAATCCCCTCCTTTCCTTTTGCGACAGATTCGAATGTCCTCATCAGTTTTTTATAGCTTTCGGAAAGTTATTTTTCGTTATTGGAAAAATGTAGGCGGCTGTATATTTATAACACCATGAGCCCTTCCTGTATTGCGATGCAACAGTTTGGTGATGTAATGAGCATTTAAAGCATTAGGAAGACTTACTTCGAACCCACTATATTCGATATAAATAATACAAGGTGTTGCAACAAAACCTTGGAACTTCCAATCCCGTGGTATTATTATGACGAAAACTAATGGACATGTCTCATTTCCGATCTTTATCTTGTAGTAATGTAAGTGTTATTTATATGAAAGACTCCAATTTAGTCTTCCTTGCATCGATTATTCATAAATGTCTGTAAGCCGTCTAATGAATTACTATGTCCACTAAAGAGTAATGGTCAATATGTATGAGTCATTCATAACAAGACTATTTATTAGCCCCAATAATATATTCATCTTTTATATAAGATGAAAATTGGTCATGATTAATTTTGATGATTCTTACAGTTACGATTTCCGATAGGTATAGTTTCTTTTCTTGAATTAATCATGTGAAAAGACAGCTAATAACTTACGGTGGTCGACCTTCAGCGAACTTTTGCAAAACAGACTCGTAAATTTATGTAATAATTAGTCGGGGAAGCTATTATTGATATTTACTTGTTAGGGCATATTTTGTTTGAAATTTGTAACGGTGTCTTCTTCCCGCTGGTAGCAAACTTAAATTGAAATATAGTTTACGACCATAATATACTTGTGTTCAATTTCAGTTATAATTTAAAATTTCCATTTTACTAAAAGTTATTTGATGTATACATTTATTAAATTCCTCACTTTTACTACTACAACACAACTTAACCCGGTCAGGATACTATTTTAACACAATTTCTTGCTTACTCATTTGCCCGTTGCATGACTGCATCTTTTGTTAGCGAATTATTATTAATTTTTTTTCGAACAAATCAAGTTTACCTATTTTAAAGTCCATGGTCAAGTGAGCTGAACATTTTAATAATAACTATCTACAGTCACGTGAGAATGCCTCCGTGCCTAGTACTATAGAATGATGGAATGCTTTGTTCTCTTGTCGATGCTTTTTGAAAAATTTTAAATTATTTGTTAAATTATTATTATAAATCTTATATTGCAAGTCACTGACAGTATCGCATAATCTAAATGCATTTTTTAAATTTTAAAATGCATTTTGAAATGTTTCTTATTTCAATATTGTTCAGTGACCATATATTTCATACAACTCCTTTAAAGTTAATTTTTACTTACTTTATATCTTTGTAGGGGGTCATCAAGGATGATAATGTAACTTTGATCTAAACTTGAATTCCCTCAGTAGCTTTGATTATCGGATAAGATATGGTTTCATCTTTACTATCTTCTTATGTAACTTCGACATTTTGAAAGTCTAAATCTATGATTTAAGACAAAAATAACTTTTTTCACGCCATTGATGTCTGTCAATAAATAAGCTGCTATATTCTTTTGATGATTTGCAGATAATTTTCAAACAAGTGTGTGTTCTTTTTCTTTCATCTTCCAAAAACTATTTTGTAAACAGGAATATATGAATGATTATATGGATTTTGATTTATAGATTTAGTCAAGTCATTTTCGCAAACGGCTCTCAACCTTCTCAATGATTAGAAAGGACAGTATTATCATTTTCTGTATTTCGAACAGTTATTAGTTATCAAAAAGTATTCCGAGGCACATGTGTTAGAAGGTTGACATTGTATTAATCGGGAAAATATTCTGTAAAAGCTTACTGTAAAATCGGTTGATAGTAAATGATGATGAGAAGAGTAATGTTTTTGTTTTTTTTTTGTCTGAGACGAAATAATATAATTCTAATTTTATGTAATAGATCACTCTACTAAAATGGTTTACTTTAAGCTTGTTCTAATTTCTTCCAATTTGTTTTTTCCCCCACATGAACTGCAAAGTATCTGAATCTACCTTCAAATGCAATGACATTGAGATAGGTTGCTTCTTATATTCCTGAAAAAAGTTTTAAAATTATAGCATTTATAATTACTAGTCAGTTTGAGATAACGCACTTAGAAAAAACGAAGACGTTATTAGATACATTGTATTTGCTTTGTTTGTATAAGCTATTATGAAATACCATGACAAACCAATTATTGTTTTATTGTTTTCATCTGATCATATATATCATTGACTCTCTGTCAAAACTTACTATGTTAAGATTATGCCAATGGCATAGATTTAACAAAAAACAAAGCAATGAACAGAATTTGGTCTTGTTGAATCATGGCATTATGTAAATGTTTCAGCATTGTTTTCATTATCTTATCCAAAGATGTATTTATTATTAAATGTTGAGCTTAAATATCAAATATGACTTTTGTAAAAATTTTGAGGCTACCATCCTGTTATATATTTTGATATGTTGTTATGTATTAAACTTTATTTATTTCAGTATTGAGATTAAAAAGCATTGATCATTGGTAATAAAATATGAAATACAATATGATTTACTGTTTTCTTAAAACAAACAAAAAAAAATCAAACAAAAGACTCATAAATGGTAATGGTTGAAATTCACACATTAAACATATTCTCGTACACCATGTCGAGCAAGATCTGCCTACCCTTCCGGAGCAACCGAGATCACACCCGGTGTTCGGTAGGGTTGTGTTGTTTACTTTACATCAAGTTGTAACAACTGCTTTTTTTTGGCATATTCAAGAAATGAGAAAATAAACAAATCAGATAAGTAGATTTTGCAAAAGAGGGACGAAAGATACCAGAGGGCGTCAACCGGAATGAACAGTTGGAATTTTGAACTGTCCCTGGAATATGTTGGATGGGAAATTATAACTATGGACCCCTCAAAGAGTTGTTGCAAGTGTTCTTTAACGTGAATTGGGCATCACACTATCCATATGCAAGATAACGGATTTAACTATACATCATGGACAGCTAAATGGACATCACTTCGGAGTAAGATTTACTTCTGGTTGGAAAAAGTCCAGGTGACCATACTCCCATACCCGAGACAAACCGAAAGACAGTACCCAATATAAAGGATAAAGATTAGGAGTATGAGTTGTCAAAAAGAAAAGAAGTTATTGTAACTGCGTTGAAATAAACATGATCACTGGTTAACATAAAAGACCACCCTCACTGGGTAAGATAAAAGATTACCCTTCATTTCATTTAATTCATGAAGAGTTGTTTAACTACGAAATATTCTCTGTTAATATTAGATACACCTTGAGGGCTTTAGCCCGAATGGGTGTATGTAATTTACACCAAGATATCAATGTCAATGCAGAATGATCGTTTTCAATAATTTAGAAGGGGGTCTTTCAGCGATTTGATCATATGTTATTGAAAAGCTTGATAAATGAGGGACGTAATGGGGGTCCCTTTATGACGAATAACGGTAAAAAATCTTGCCAAATGACGTTAACGGTAATTTTTGTGCATGACGATAAAATGTACACTTTCTTTTAGACGATAAAAAAAATCGACTGATTTTGACGAATCACGTTAATTTTTTTCAACAAATAACGGTAACGATAGTTATTTGAGACCTCTGACGAATCACGATAAGGATATTTTGACGAATCACGGTAAAATTTTAATCAACTTGACGCTAACGGTAGCCGAAATGAGCTTTTGACGCCTGACGGTAGAGGGCATTCCTACCCTCATAAATGCAACGTATAAAATTGCATTTAACGACATCTTGGTGTAAATAAAGTTATATTGCAATCATTTTAGTTAGGTACCTGTGAAAAAGTAGTTTAAGTTGGACCCGATAACAGGTTTTAAAATTATTTAGAAACTGTTTGCCTCTGTCTTCATTTATGATTTAGGTTTCCAATTTTCATAAACTAGTCATTAACATAATAACAAATAATGATAAGAGTAGGAGAGGCCAAACAGTAGTATGTTCAAATGGTATTTGTGACAATTTCTGTGTGTTTCCTTGATTTATCTCTGCCTAATCGATTTACGAGATTTGATCATCGGTAATCTATAGTCCCCTTAATTTGTTACGTTAATAAATGTGTTGAATCCTTCTGAACAATTTGTTCATAAACTTATTAAATAATACAAATCAGTCATTGTGAATATAACTTATATGCAAGAGAAAAAGGTCATCCATCTTATTTTAACATCCAGATGTTTTACTTCAAGTTACTCTTTCTATACCAAAAGACTGGGACAGATTGCAGAATATGCAATAGAGATACCAGACGTCTACAAAGTCTTCAAATATTTTGAATATCTCAATACAATATTGTGTTGAAGGGACGTTAAAGGCTACATCAACAGTGCTCATCGTAAGTTAGGGGAAGAATGTGAAATATATATAAACTAATCTAAACTCTTATAAAAATGAGTGACAACTCCAGTCAAAATAAACCTATATAATATAATGGATGACTGGAATATTTACAGCCGAAAACTAGATCAGAATATTTCTCAGACAAGCCAATAATTATACCAAAAGTGCAGGAAATTTCACAGTTTGCACCAGATAGCACAAACGCATTGACTTACACCATTTTGAGGGAAACACCGAGAATTCTTTATAAAAGACAAATATCTTGACTTCATGTACTTTGAGGAAGTTCGACCGCCGACTCAATAATAATCTTTAAAACGATTTGTAATAATAGAAAAGGAATACTTGCATGCAATTCGTTTTTCTTCAATCTAAAGAAATCATTGTATGAAGGGAACAACTATTTCGCTCAAGAAAGAGGTGGGTTGTTTTTCGGGTAAAACACTATCTAGTATTATCTTTTGATGATACAAAGCCTGAATATCATCTTCATTTATGCTTATGTGTTTAAGGAAAGTTTTCTTGTCTTTCAGCTTTTGGGTTGTTATCCCGACTTAGATTGATTTGTGATTATTCTGTGCCTCTATTATCAGTCAGCATTGTATATCGAAAGCCTTTTTCTTTGAATTACTATAAGACTCTATATATATATATAGCTTCCCCAAAGTCTGACTTATAGCCTTTCAATACCGTCATTATCATGATAACTGTTTGGACTAGTATTGTGAAAATTATTGTATGAATTTCAAGCTTATATATTCGTTACAAAAATACGTCACTGTTTGTGATGTCCTGTGCTGTCTGTCGTTAATGGAAGATGTTCGTTGTTATTCTGCGGTTTACATGTATCGACTATTATATTATTTATTTGTGCGTTTCTTTGTGATGAGTTTTTTTGCGTGTGTTTGTGCTGTATTTCAGTCACGTAGTGTTGTCATTTTAGCGATATTTTTAAACATTGCCATATAAGCGGGAGGTTTGGCTAGCCATAAAACCAGGTTCAACCCACCATTTTTCTCTCAAAATGTCCTTTACCAAGTCAGGAATATGGCAGTTGTTATCAAATAGTTCGTTTCTATGTATGTTGGCGTTTGTTTTTATTGCACGTCAATGTTTCTGTTATTCCTTTGTTTTCCCCTTATAGTTGACGTGTTTCCCTCGGTTTTAGTTTGTAACCCGGATTTGTTTTCTCTCAATCGATTTATGACTTTTGAACAGCGGTATACTACTGTTGCCTTTATTTATGCCAGTGCCTTCCATCCACAATCGTCACTACGTTCTGACTAAGATGACCTGAGTATGCCTATGCTTTTTTTGTTCGTATGAATTTGAGCATATAAATAAAGGCAATTAATTTTATCATTTAAAAACAGTTATCGAAGCATTCATAAGGAAGTTATCCCCATTAGAATATTCATCCCTTAGCTCAACGTACTGATGTAGATTTTATCCCCAACAAACGCACAGATGACGTCCAATAACGTCACCTAAAACCAAACACTTTGACGGAAAGATAACGATTGGAATCAAACTTATTGAAATATAGAGTTTGTTTTTATAGTGAACAAACTATTTTTACCATTGCAGCATAAAACAGTTCATGTTTTTTGTCGGAAAATATATAACTTATTTGGACTCGTTAAAAATACGAAAAAGCTCGCCCTTTTCACAGTGACCATGTATTGTGTATTTACCTTTACGATAGTATGACTTCCATTATAGTACTTTGAATGAGTGTAGGTCAATACCCGGGAGGAAGGATTTTTGTCTTCCTTTTGAATGGCAAAACGCTAAGAAAATTAAAAAAAAAAAAATACCATAGATATTCATCAAAATTCAACAAAACATGAGCTTTTCTTCAGCTTGTAAAATCTATCCTGCACAAAAAACTAACATTATGGACCAGGTAAATGGTATAATAAAGCCCAGAAGCAAATCAGGAAAGAAACCAGCCATTCCTTTGGAAATAGAAAATACTGTTTGCAGAAAAAATCTTAGTTACCACCGAAGATCGTTTCAGGATGTCCAAAACGCAAACATCTCATGTAGAATTCTATGGAAAATATTACTTTGGGCTAATTTTTCTACCATGCATGGTTCGTAGAATCACACCGGATAATATATAATGTAGTTTTAGGGCCACCAATATTTGGCCACTGAATCCATGTGATGTTTCGGATTCTGCATACTTGCTATCAGACATGTACGGTCATCCTTCTATAGTCCCAAACTAAGAAATACATGAATCAGTTGAAACTGTTAAGAGTGGACTAGACACTTCACAAGGTTTACTAGCGGAACCAGCTGAATAATTTCCCCCATTACTTTCCAAGCTGAACTTGTATTACAGTTTCTTATGAAAGTTCTGATTATTCTGCATTACAATCCTTAGACGATAGTTAAGCTCCGATGGATGATATCGTCTCGTTATTGCAAGACATTGACAATGAGAATTAAATACTGTTTGACGTTTACGAAGTTGAGGTTCAATAAGTTGAATCCACATTGAATTATCAACCAAGAAATAGAAAATAGTGCCGTCAATCACATCTCATAGGCTACTGACCAGGCCAGTGAAAAAGTTTTAAAGGTCAAAAGAGAAGAATTGGAGGAAAAGGAAAAACAAAGAAATTACATACTAAACAGTTAAACTCCAAAGTTATCTTTGATAAATGTATATTTATATATCGGTCTTACAATAGTTGTCTCGTTGGCAATCATGCCACATCTTGTTTTCTTTTTATTTTTCAAGTTTTTGTTACACCGCTTAAATAGTGTTGCCTTCATTTTATATGCACAAATTAATAAAAATAATAAGAATAAAACGCATGTGTAAAAGACCTAAGGAGCGCATGTGGATGGTAGTAACTGGCGTTAGTCAGACTGGGCGAATCCTATATATATATATAAATGGGTCCTACAGTAACTGACTATTAATTCAATCCATAGCAGCTTTCGTTTTGCCATGCTGTTAGAAAATATAGGTACAGAATAATCACATATCATTCAATTTTGGCATAACAAAAAGCTGAAAGACAAGAAAACTTTCCTAAAACACATGGTTATAATTGGAGATGGTATTCAGGCTTTGTATTATCAATAGATAAAGGCACCCAAGAGATACCAATGCTATATAAAGTATTGCTCGATAAACTTGACCCAACTCCT